CATGTTCCGCCCCCCGCCCCGCGCCGCCCGCGTCGGCCCCGCCCCGCACAGGCTCCGCCTCCATCGGGCTCCGCCCAACACCGTGCCCCGCCCGGACGTGCGTCGCGGATCCCTCCGCCACGTCCTTGCGGCCCTGAGAGGCTCGGACTCACCCCTAGGGCTCCGGAACACCGGGAGGAAGACCTTGCAGCCCTGAGGCTCCGGATATGTAGGGGTGAGCTTGCTTAGTGGAGCTCTATCGACGAAGGAACGGGGAAGAGTTACGAACTGTTTTTCTACGCGGAGGCGCACACAAACTGAGCGCAGCGTCCATGACGCAGGCGGGAAGGCGCATGCTATTGAAACATAAGTGAAAGAGGCACTGACCAATAAGAGGACAAAAAAACCTGATTGGCGGGGTTTTCAGCCATTCATAACGAGGCCCCGCCCCCCATGTCGGAGGCGGAACCCTCGGAGCAAGAGGCCGCGAGAAGCAGTAGAGTAGGTGTTGGGGATTTATTCTTAGGTTGGTGTGGCCGCCCAAGCGGCCCATTCGGCTTGGTTGTATCTAAGTTTCTAGGGCCTGACCTGATGTGCTGTGTGTTCTAAGCCAGGAGGGTGTTGTAAACCAGGAAGCAACATTCGACCCATTAACTGATGGAGAAACTGAGGCTGATTTCGTTTCGGGGTCAGAACCCTGAGTGGAGCACCTTGTGCCTTTTCCTACCTGATTCTCCGTTTCCTCGTGTGTATAATGGAATTTGGACCTCTGTTTGGACAGAACCAAGACCGGGCAGGAGCTTTCTGATTCTCAGTGGTCTCTGTATCCATTTTGGACAGAAGTTTCCCTCACTTGAAAGCGTGCTCCAGGGCTGGGGATTTAGCTCAGCGGCACAGCGCCTGCCTGGCAAGGGCAAGGTCGTAAGGTCGATTCCCGGTACCGGAAAAAGACCAAAAAAAAACCAGAAAAACCCCAAAACAACCAAAAAAAAACGAAGGGCACTCCAGCCTTTCAAAACCAGAGATCCCACAGAATCAGACAAATAATGAGTAAGCATACAAAGGTTCCGAGGCTCGTGGGATACGCCAGAGAAATCACGCTCCCTTCACACTGATTGATTGACTGATTGATTGAACCGATCTTGCTATGTAGTTCAGGCTGGTCTTGAATTCGCGGCAATTTTCCTGCCTCAGCCTCCCAAGTGCTGCTATCCCAGGTGTCCGCCCCATCCCTGCTCCTTTCCAGAACTTTGTCAGGCTGATTCCTGCTCCCAGGGTCTTTGCTTCTGCCTGGGCCGCTTCTCCCACCCTGTCAGGAGCCTCCAACTGCTGCCAGTCCAGGGAGCAGAACTAAACGAAAAGTGGCTGTGGGTGTAAGCACACACTTCTGTAATCCCAGCACTCTGGGAGGCTGAGGCTAGAAGATCACAAGTTTGAGCCCAGTGTGAGCAACTGAATGACTTAGTGAGACCCTCTGTCAAAAAAATGATTGGGTGCTCGCTTCCGCAGCACATATACTAAAATTGGAACAATCCAGAGAAGGTTCACATGGCCCCTTTGCAAGAATGACACCCAAATTGGCGAAGCCTTCCGTATATTTTTAAAAGGGGGTTGGACAAAAAAAAAAAAGGCCGGGCATAGTGGTACACACCTGTAATCCTAGCACTCGGGAGGCTGAGGCAGGAGGATTGCTGCAAGTTCGAGGCCAGCCTGGGCTACAAATTGAGCTGAAGTCCAGCCTGAACTGCATAGCGAGACCCTGTCTCAAAAAGACCAAAAGGAGGAGGGGGAATGGAGTGTAGCTCAGTGTAAAGGCCTTGGGTTCATTTATTTTATTTTTTATTTTTTGTCTTTTTGAGGCAGGGTCTCGCTATGTAGTTCAGGCTGGCCTTGAGCTCACTTTGTAGCTCAGGCTGGTCTCGAACTCATGACGATCCTCTTTCCTCAGCCTCCCAAGTGCTGGAATTACAGGCATACGCCACCACACCCGGCAGGCCTTGGGTTCAATACCAGTAAAAAAGAAAGGAAAGCGAGTACAGGGTGGAAGTGGGGCACAGGGCTCCTGGTTAAATTGCTAGCCCCCTCCTCCTACAGCCAGGCTGGGCTCACCCCCTGTTTGGACCGCTCTAGCCCAGAGAGCCCCACAGGCAGGGGCATCTGGGGACAGGGGTCTGGATCTGGGCCGTCCCGGTTCCAGTCCCCTACCCTCCCCACCGGAGACCTTTAGCAGGTCCTTGCCACTTTCAGGGCCTCAGTTTCCCCATCAGGAAAGCTAGAGGGTGCAGCCATGGTAGATAGCAGGTGCCGTGCTGAGCCTCTAGGGAGGAAGCTGTGTCTCTGCACCGAGGGTCCCCGGAGCAGCTCCAGGCACACCGCACACCCTGCCCTCAGCCCTCCCCTGTGTCTGTGGGCGCCTGGCAGGTGCTGCCCGTCTCTAGTTCAGGCTGGCGCTGAGGCCGCTGCATACCCCAACCCGGCTCAACCTCACCATCCCCAGGTCTGAGCCACCGTCTAGGCCAGTGTTCCTAGGATGCCCTTTATTTTTTATTTGTTTGTTTATTTTGACACAGGCTCTCATTATGCAGGTCAGGCTGACCTTCACTACATAGCCCAGGCTGGCCTTGACCTCTTATCCGCCCTCCTGCCTCAGCCTCCCAAGTGCTGGGATGACAAGTGTGTGCCACCATGCCCAGGTAGGGTGCCCTTTAGTTGCAAACAGAGAGGGGAAGAAACCATCTTCTGGGGGTCCATTGTTGAGTGCCAACAGTGTACCAGGTTGCATGCTGGGCACTGAGACACTGGTGACCCTGACCTGTCCAGTCCCCATCTTCCAAGGCAAATGTGGGCTTCGGGGGCCTCGCCCTCCATGGGTCCTACATGGGGTTCTTTGCACACCTGCTCTGGCCCTCAGGTGCTGGCGCCCAAGCACTGGACTCCAAAACACATAGACCGAGGCTCCGAGATCTCCCCTGCCCTGGTGCCGGGACCCGCTCCATCCTGGCCAGGGCTCAAACCTGCCAGGACTGCCCCCTTGAACCCACAAGTCCCCATTGTCCTCCCTGGGGAGGCCCAGCTCGGGGCTGAGTCACCGGGTGGGCGGAACAGCCCACGGGCCCCCACTTACAGCCACCTCTGCCCAGCCCTGAGGCCAGGGTGCGCCCTGCAGGGCCCTGGCACAGAGACAGGCCACCGGGGCTGGTGCCAGGGCCCCTGGAGGGCGGCCCACAGCAGCCGCCCGCGCCTGCCTGACTGCGGCCTTTGTTCTCCTCCGGGGCCCAGAGCCTCTCCCCCTGCGGCAGGGCCACAC